ATATATATATATATATATCAATATTCACAGCAGAAGAACTAAAGAAGGTAACCCTGCCCCACTGCCTCATGGATTCTAATGATCTACTTATGAAGATGAAAGAACTCAATGAGTCAGGAAGATTGACTGGGAAGACCATCTACCACGTTACATTTGATATTGTAAACATGTTCCCCAGCATTTCAAAGGAGATTGGGCTACCAGCCTGTAGAACCTTACTAGACCAAAGAAGTACTAAACTTTTCTCCACAGACTGCGTTATGGAAGCTTTGGAGATAACCCTGGATAACAACATCACTGTTTTCAATGGCAACATGTATGTACAGACAAGTGGAACTGCGATGGGTCCAAATAATGCTTGCCAGTATGCAGACTCAGCTCTCAGCCCCTTGGACAGTAAGATCGTGGAGAGCCAAGAAATCACAACCCCTGAGTTCTATGGCAGATACCGTGACGACATATACATCACCTGGACTGAGTCACTGGAGAAGCTAGACCAGTTCCTACTTTGGCTCAATCAATACCATCCAAACCTCAAGTTTACAATGTCGACACCTTCTACAGAGGGGACTGAATTTCTAGACCTGTTTATTTACTCGAAAAATAGCACGCTAGAAACTAGAACGTACTGCAAACCTAGTGATGCCCATAGCTATTTACTCCCACAATCCTGCCACCCTACACACATAGCAGAGAATATTCCATATGGAGTAGCACATCGAGTGTTCAAAAACTGTTCAGAGGAAGAAGAGTATTTGAAATGTAAAATTGAATTTAGTGAATATCTAGAAGATAGGAATTACAATAAAGATCTTATCCATAAATCCTTTGAGAAAGTTGAGTTACTTAAACGGGATGATCTGATTTCAAAAAACCTTACAAGCTCTAATAGTAAGAAGAGTGAAAGATGTTTTCCTTTAGTTTGTGATTTTGACCCTAACTTACCTCCAATTGGTAAAATAGTTAACAAGAATAAATTTATCCTTGGCCTAGACCCCCTTTTAAAGTCTGTGATCCAGCCTAGTAAAGTATTTGTTTCATATCGTGGTAATAAAACTATCAAAGAAACTTTAGTTCCGAGTAAACTTTCAGAAGATCGTAAGTATCATGAAGATAGTAATGTTATAACTTTAAACTCTAACACTGAAAATGTGGCTCTGCCTACTAGTATAGAAGAGGGGGGATGTTATCATTGCAACTCCAGATGTAAAGCCTGTAGAATGTATATTTGTGAATCAAAAACAGCTCAGAGCTACCACTCGGGGTACACTGTTAACATCATTGGACAACTAGACTGCAACACAGTAGGGGTGTGCTATCTAGTAAGGGATAAAGTCTGCAGACGTGCTTCAGTAGGAAGCACAGTTAACAATTTTAAGACCAGATGGCAGAACCACAAATCACATATTAGGAAAGCGGTTAGGAGTTGTGAAATTTCTTGTCATTTTAACGATAACCAGTTCCATAATCTTACCAAAGAGCCCTTAAAAACGTTTGACAATGAGTTATCCGATCAGATAGAGGTTATTATTTTTGAAAAGCTAGATTTTATAAAATGTTTAACCTTAGAAGATAGAAGTAGGGTTGCTAAAGAAAGAGAATCATTTTGGCAAAACCAGCTTATGACCCTCAGTGATTTTGGAGGACTTAATAAACGTAGTGCTCTTAATGAAATAAAAAATTGACCTTTATATGATATGCTTTAATATTAATCTTTCCACAGACACTTGCATTTTGATGTTTACTTTCACCTCTGCATCTTCTGTTTATATCTTATGATTGAATGAGACTTACTCACAAATTTCCCATCTCAGTATTGATCTATTTTTGTCATGTTTTTAATTTACTTCATAGAACAGTTATTATAATAAACTTGCTTTCAGAATGAGACATGTAAAGATTACACAATCGATAGCTTAATGTGAATTTCGTGTTTTACTGTTTCACTGAATGTCTCAAATATATATATATCGTCTCGCTTTATATGTAGTAAGATTATTACTGTGTAATATATTACACAGTAATAATATTACTGGGCGGCGCTGATCAAGGCGGATGGCTTGTCATCCCGCCGAATCTCTATTTCAATTTATAATATTGATGAACATTATAGCCTGGGGTCTCCACACTAGGTAATGTTATTATCTTAACTATAACCTCACTGATTCATCATTGAAATCAATAAAATGATAGTACAGCAGGCTATCGGTTTGATTTTGACTTTACTGGGCGGCGTTCAGCCTGTCATTCCGCCGAATCTTTTATATTCGGTGCAGTTTCTGTGAAAATCTATAAAGCTGTACTGTAAGTGTAATTAGTTATGAAACTCTAATATCGTGTGGTTAACATTTTTCAGTTTCAGACCTTTCCACTTAGTAATTCCTGATTACTAAAATCTGCCGAGATTTACTGAACTCCAACTACAAATATTGGTAATTTCAGTATTCTTGAAACGAAAAATTCACGGAGTTTTTTGAAAAGCGTTTTTCTCCACGTTTAATGCAATTTGATCACTTTTGGCGAAAAAATATTTTATTTTTTCCAACATAACATCCAAGGATCTCGAAAAAAAATGTAAGTGAATAAAAATGTTCAAAGTTTTTCTAAAAACTACTTTTCTCATTGTTTTAAGCTATTCCGATCATTTTGAGCCAATATAAAAATGTTAAATTTGTCTAATAAAATTTTTTTTTAATTTTTGTTGATTGACGATGTCAATCCTTCGCATCTCGCCGATCTGTGGTTGCGAGAAGCATTATTTGATGCGCGCGCGACCCAGTAGTGCATCGCGCTACAAAAATTTTTGCTAATTAGCTAATTGATAATTATCCAATTAGCTGATTATCTGACGTAAACATTTTTTCACAAAAGTTTTTTCTTCTGATAAGATGAACACCCTCGATCCGATTAATCCGCAACCTTTTATGATGTTCACAACTAAAGATATTCGACAAACAAGAAAGGTGGTAAAAAGTGGTAAAAGTGGCCTTAAGACACGCGGAAAAGTTTGGAAAAGTTGGTCAGCCATAAAGGGCACCTAATGGGACTCAAAAACGTCGAATTCCTTAGAAAGCTTCTTGTGTCGGTATAGATCGATTTTTTTTCAGACGGATCTGTCTATATAACTAACTGATAATTGAGAGCACATTGTCATTAAGTAAATAAAACAATACAAAACCACCACGCACGACATCAAACATAGTAATATTTATGTTTACATACTACAGTTAACTCAAAGTTAACATAGAGTTAACTCAGAGTGTATCATGCAGTGTGTGCTAAAATTAGATATAGATAGTTAATGTGACAGTTCAGTGTAGAGTGATTTATATTATTATTATCATCATCATTTATATTTGATATTATTATTATCATCATCCTGTTGAAATTTGGACTAGTTTTGCGTGTTACCTCACGAATCCAGAATCGGGATCAAATCTTTTTCAATGTATTCAGAATCAACACATGCAACTTAAAACAAATCATTTTGAATACTTTTCAAAGATAATGACTTTCTTATTTCTCCATAAAAAGCACGATAGCGTGAGTACCTTTTGTCGAGATGCCTCGAAAGTGATCTTAAACAATTCCACGTACAATTTTGGTACATTCACTTCAACTTATAGCTTAACGGGTTATACTCGTAAAATATCTGTTCCATATATTGGAACCGTCGACGAGTCGACGAGTCCAACTCGGCGCGCGTCCTGGTAGGTTGTAAACCTACAAGTACAACTTATACTTATAGCAGAATCAAGCAAGTTAAAAAATATTTCATACGTATCTTAAATTGAATGTGCTTTCTGTCATGTGGAAAGGTAGTGCACGCCTTTTCCAAACCAAAAGATATGATATAGATATCAATTTGAGTTACCATTCTCAAATGCAAAATGATACCGATGTAAATCATAAATAAGATCGGTCACTCGCTTTTCCCATTATATATTAGGAATTTCAAAATGACGTACCTTGTATTTTTCACTTCGATAGTAATATATAAAGTGTAATATGTGTAAAGTGTAAACTAACCGTGATGTTGCAGGTAATAATAAAGCTTTAGTTGAACTGTTTATCTGTCAAGCACTTCACTGGTTAGTTCACTGATGAAAAGTCTTCAGAAACGCGCCACTGAACTTGCTTTTATAATTTTATATATACACTTATATAATAGTGTTAACTTGGTTTTTGTGGTGACGTTTCTTGGATATTGTTAGTATTAATTTCATAATATGTTTGTAGTTAACACAACATTTCGATGGTTGTTGCTGTCCTCAACAATTTTCTTCAGTAAGTTGCTCCGTGAATATACGTCCATTGTTTAACTTTAAGATCAGTTTTTGCAAGCTACTACAGTGTAATCGTCAAACTACGAACACCAAGAAAACGCCCTCGTAGAATTAATCTTCTGTTATTATCTATATTTGTATGACCCATCTACATTCTACGTTCAACCCCCTAAAATCCCATCATAGAGCCCAAGGAGTAATTTCTTGATTAGAAATAATCTACCTTCAGTTGCTTCTACGTTCACTCTTGAAGAGGAGACAGTTGCATCAAATGAGGAAATAGAACTTAGCGGAGCAATAACGGCCTACGAACCACTTGTCGCTGTAGGATTAGCCGAGGAGCCCTTCGTTGCAGTTGAAGCAACAAAGGAATCGTATCGAGAACCATTGGAAGAATCTTCTGAAGGAACATTGGAAGAATCTGTTGAGGAAGGTACGATCTTTGGTCATAGGTGTCATCTATTTGCTATTTGAACACTTTCAAATTTCAGATTCTAAGTATACTAATAATGCGTAGCGATGACGATATCAATACTTTTATTTTCAGGTACCAATCCTACTAATATCGGAGGTTGGCAGAAGGGTTACTTCAGCGTGAAACCTATTAAGGGCTAGAAAAGCAACGTTTATTTCGGAGAGTAGACAGTTGGAAATAGAAAACTTGTTTGAATACTTTGTTCGGAGTGGAAGTGGAAGATCTCATTTGTTTTTTATTTAATTGAAGACAAAAATTCAAATCGATGGTAATTAAAGTAATAAAATGTTTTCATTTCTAAAAAGAATTGTCGTCAAGACTTGATCCAAATCAACTTTTTAGTGGTCTCTTGAAAAGTTGTATCTTTTGAAGTTACCAGCAACTGAAAAGTAAATTGTCAAATAAAAAACCATGACAATGTGCCTCAAACTTTAGAAGTATAACTACTGAGGAAGAGTGGCATATCAGTTTTATTAACAACTCCTAGAAGAACTAACCACAGTCCCTGATGGAACAGTAGTCCCACACGGGGAATGTAAGAGCCTCTGTGTAGCACCACGGCTTTTCTTCCGACCCTCCTGGATTCCTAGGAACGGAAATTTGACCAATTTGTGTCCAAAAATATTTGTTTGTTACAAATAACCATACAAAATAACAACCATATTTTCACAATTAAATAACCCGTTAAACGAATGAAACTAACCTGCATTTGTTGTGGTCGCCTACGTCATTATAACCATGAGGGTGTGGGTAGTCCTTGCTCCAGTTCTGACACTTGTACAGTGAGTCAGTAGTGTCCACAGGACCCAGATACTCTTCTCCACTTGGAGTACCCGAACACTCCTCGTCCCAAACTGCAGGTTATAGATTTGTTAGTTGAATTGATCTAAACCATGTTCCAAACATCAAAATAAATGCAGCACACATGTTGCACAATTTTAAATTTGGTGATATCGATAGTTGATCAAGCAACAAAAAATATTGAAATAATTTAAGTCCAATCTGTAACTTACTACACTTGGGGACAGTACAGGGGACCAGTCTTGGTTCCATATCTCCTGAAATGAAGCAGTAGGGACGTTTACTGTGACTCCCGAATTTTCTACAAAAGTTGTGTCCCGGGTTGTAGTCAGGCATGCTGGTCACATCGTCCCAGTTCAGACACTCTACTAAATATTCCGACATGTTGGCTCTACCCTTATAGTCGTGTCCGGTACCAGTGTAGCAGAAATCGTTGGTTATGACCGGGCTTGCACTGGATATGTCCGAGGGGGTGAGGGGGGCGGGTAGGGAGATTTCTGGTGTTAGCTGTGGAAACTCAGTTGAGAACTTGCGTTAGTGGACTACAATACATTTACAGTAGAACCCCGATATAGGGTAAGGCACATAATTTTGTCAGGGTACCTAATTTTGTCATTTTGCTCTGAAAAACTGCCTCGGCTCGGAATTTCAGCTTGAAAGAAAAGGATTGTGTATAAAAAGAAAGCTTAGACTTTGCTGAAACTGCTCGTACAAAGTTTAAGTTTCTAGCTCTTTTGCATCTGTGTCAAAAATGAAGGCGAAACTGTTAACCCGAAAAATAAATAAGATCCTTAAGGTTTTCTTAAGGAATTTTCAAAATTTTGATTAATTGCTATTTCAAAAGTAATTGAGCTAGCTTCATGCCATTGCATATTTCAAATATCTTCTACATCAGAAGTATACGTACAAATTTTCAAGTCTCTAGCGCAATTATTGTTCAAGTTACAGAGGGTGACAAAATTAGGTTCGATTTTGCCAGAAGTACCTAATTTTGTCAAAAAAATCGACCTTTTTCAAATTTCTTGTAAATCACAGATTGTGTTGAAAATGGCCTTATACAACTATTCTGAAGTTTTTTTGCCCATAGGATATGTATAAGGCACTTAAATAATAGCATAACACTTATAATAACATATTTTCGCCGAGAAATATTAGGTGGATAATCTGATTTTTTCAATCTAAAATGACTAAAAAAATATTTGATGAAATTACTAAGCAAGTGATCTATCTACAGACATGAAAATTTCAACCTAGGCCTAGAACCAATCGTTTTTCAAGATGCCAGTGGTTTCAGGGGCATTTGGGGCTATTTTCTAAGATTAGATACCCAAAAAAGTGTCTTCTTTTCATCAAGCTACAAAACTATGAAAACATCATATCTTTGGGATTTTTGAGGTCAATGTTGGTAAAAAAGCGCTCGAATGATGCATCCAGGTAGTCTAAAATACCGAGAAACGGTTACTTTTTGCACAATCTTCAAGTGACAAAATTAGGTTCGGGGTGACAAAATTAAGTAAAGTCACCTAATTTTGTCATTTTTTCAAAATAATTTTTTTAAACATCTTCAACCCCAGCAATTTCGATCATTTTTGTGTTAGAACTTGCCTAGACTGTCTACTATAACATGGTGGAGGTTTCATCTAAATCGGAATTTCAGACGAGGTTAAAACCCATGGTTTATATCAGGCAGTCGGAAAATTGCCAAAAAATGACAAAATTATGTGCTTTACCCTACCGCGGACCCCGATTTATCGCGGACCCCGATTTACCGCGGATGTTTCTTTTCCCCAAATTCCGCGGTAAATCGGGGTTTTACTGTAGTAACATTTTAGACATTCAAAAAACATTAATCTTGGAAAAATCTGGAAATCACTGAAATCTATTTCAAAGGTTATTATTAAATTAGATTACTGTACATCATCACCAAAGAAGAATTAATCTTAAAAACTCGCCTCAATGCGTCTGCCTTCATGAGTAGTAGCTGTCCACCTACCACTTTTAACCTCCAAAGTGGCCGTCTCTTTCAGTTCCTTCAAGTCAACATCAGCAGTGTTTTCAGTTTCTTCTCCGTCAATTGTTACCACCAGCATAGGTCCTGAGTAAAATATAGCTAAAGTTATTGAGATCGGGTATAACTATAGTTCATACTATTTCACGATTCAGAAGCCCCCACCTGCGAATTAATGAAATTAGTGGCCACTATCACTGCACTGGATGTTTTATAAATTGTGACTGATAAAGCTTTGTTAACTTGAACTGGAAACTAAGTAAAGTTCATCCCATTGTGCATGGATGATGACGTACCGACACATGCATCAGGACTCTCAGAACTGTCAAAATAAGTGAAGTGGTTATCCGGACAGGGGGTACATTCAAAAGACCCTCTCACTGATGCATAGGTACCCTGAACAATAACAAATAAATGTTCAAATTCATAACGTATTGTAACCAAGATAATTAATTCTCAATGTTTGCTTATTTGTGACGTATAATTAATGGAGAAATAACTTGCCTCCCTGCATCAAAACTATTTTTGGTATGAATCACGATAAAAGAAGATATTGCATAATAGAAGACTAAAACTCTGACCCTTGGACATCTGATACAGTGAGACCGTCCACCATTTCCGGGCTGATAGCTGCCCTTGGGACAGAGATGGCACTCTCCGAACACAAGGTAAGTTCCTCTAGGACACTGCTGCTCCTCCGCAAACACTGCACATACCACGACCTGGACATAAACATATATCAGGATTATTCTTTAGATGTTTTCTTGGAGGCTCAAGTGTCTCTCAGTCTCTCCGTCAGAAAGTAATTCTAAAAGCAAAGCCAAACGTTAGGGGTCGTTCACATATTATTACGTAATCACTTTTTGAACAATTTATACCCCCCCCCCCTCCGTAATCAGTTTTAAAGATAGCTATTGTGTCCAAATTACACTAGCGTAATCATTTGGAAATCCCCTCCCCCCTCGGCTGATTACGTAATATGAGTACGACCACCCCTTATTAAATAGAGATGTGTACGGTTTTAATAAATTTGACTCACTGTTAAAAAAGTCAGTAACACAATCT